GGAGGTGACCACATGGCGTGGCAGACCTCTCCTGACCCGTCCACTGCTCCCCTCAGCAGTGTACTTCGTCGATCTGCCTGTTCTGCTCCCCACTCTGTCTCTGGTGAAGCCTGTCATCGCCCCTGAGCCTCTGGCCTGTACCACAGTTCTGTATGCACAAATAAATAAATCTTTAAAAAAAAAACTGTCATTGAAGATGGCCAAAGTGTTACAGTGTCTCTTGGTCATTTGGGACAGATTTGGAATTGACTCTACAGTGTTGTTACATTTTCTTTCACAAGAGCTTGTATTTATTTTTAAAACAAAACTATTCAAACAGACATACATCTGTCCCTTTTAAGGAACCTGTCTTGTGTGTAGATGGCATAGGACAGGGTTGACCAGCTGCCCTGTGTTAGTACAAAGGGAATCATTTTGTATTGCCCTGAATTCTTTTAGGCTGGAAAATAATTAAAACAAACATCAGACAGGTTGATGAAAAGAAAAAAGGCATCAGATGATGAAGGTAACTGTTCAACTGCTGAGTGGCACATCCTTGAACTCAAATGTCATTCTGATAGCACTGGAAGTAGTTAAAAGCATGTTTTAATTAATAAAGTATACTTTTATTATCCTTTATCTTTTATTGGGCATTTTATCTTCAGGAATGACTGAACTTTTACTTGTGCTTTGAGAGCATGTGAAACTGAAAAGCAGGCAAATCCATCTAGTCTGACCCTGAAAGTGACCCTCAGGTAAATTGTTTGAAGAAATTGGATGCCAGCGATTGTAGGTAGAAATCTGTGAATTGTCATCAGTATGTCTGTGTTCACACAGGGATCAAGAAGCCCAACACAAAGCATTATTATGGGTTGACAAATATGACAACTGCATTAAGCACAAGTTCTTGTTAAAGAAATATTTTGAAGATTATGATTCAAACTTGGGAGGAGTAAAGTGATGGCTATTGGAAGGAAACACAATGTGTAAGTAAATGTGTAAGTAATGTGTAAGTAAAAATTTATTGATCAATTTTTCCTATGTTAACACTTAATAATAAAAAAATCCCTTAAGAGTTTAAAAGAGTCAAAAAGTTTATATTAATAATTACAAAAACAAAATATCTGCATCCTGTCTACTTGGCAGCAACCAAGCAGGACCAAGTAACATATTCACATGCCCTCAGATAGCATGAAAATAGCTTAGCAAAGACAAAAAGACTTTGGGGGCAGAGGAAGGGAGGATCTGTTGGGGAGTTTACCAGGGAAGGCAAAGTAGAGACTGTTATGCAGATTTAAGTTTGGCCTTTTCCATGGAAAGGAGTTAAAGAGACTAGGATTTCCTCACATGCCCCTACAGAAGCAAACTCCATCCAGCCTTCAGAGCTTGCAGTCAAACTTTTCTCAAAAGGACATATTTTAGAGTGATGGATTTTTTTCTCATTTAAAGGGCCAAACAGTCTGTGCTCTGGTTATGTACAGTCTGAGAGCTAAGAATTGTTTTTATTTTTGAATGGCTAAGAGGGGGAAAGGATAATAACTCCTAACATGTGAAAACTACAGGCAAGTCAGTTTCAATGCCCTTCAGTGAAGGTTCTGGAAGCAGGAACACTGTCTGTTTAGGGTATATCTGCTGCTTTTTCAGGACAGTGGCAGAGATGAGAAATTTCAACAGAGATAGTTG